GTTTTATATGCACTATATGCATTCTACGCCCATAAGATATACGTTGCATAGTTATTGTATAGCTGAGTTATACAAGATACCACGCAAAAACATCTCGTTAGTGCTTACCGATCAGTAAGACAAAAGCTACTGGTAAGGTGGAACGGGTTCTTCATAGGAGCCACGTGAATCGCTGCAAATTCTCCAGGGCGGAAACGAAAAGGAATGGGGTCAGAATTTCTGTAAGGACTCATCTCTTTTTGTTAAAGGCAGTTGGCACGGTAAATCCCTAAGAAGAGTAGGACTGATACCGCCTGGCAGGACGGAATTCCGCGACCCTGAGCAGGTGCTGTGTAGCGCCTTTGTCAAGGAAGGTACCCTTACCTGGCCTTATAAGGGCCCTACCAAGCTACAACATACCGACCCGAACGCCCACCACGCCCGCCCGCCCACAAATGGACGACCGTACCTGATGCTCGTATTGCTTCATTTGCTAAGTAAAATATGAAGCGAAGGATTGGTATGAAGCGGCTGCGGTGCTGCATGGATATATGAGTACATAGCAGCCGCAGCGGTTATTGGCAAGATGTCTACGGAACACTCGTCCGAAGTTGCTTTCCGGGTCATTAGAGATTTTTTTAAGACTTCTTCGCAGGTTTTTGACCGTCTCCCTTCGTTTTTTTCGCCATCTTACCACTATATGGCGCCCTGCTAGCATTTTAGGCCAAGTACCAAAATATCGTGCCAACTGCCTTTAAGGCCCAAAACCTTGTCAGTAGAAGCTTGAGGAGTTTCGTTCAACAAGAAAAACGCGAAGAAATGTGAAAAAGCGTAAAGCTAACTGCGCTCCTGGAGGGATATTTTTCAGAACAGTTGCAGACAGGCCTTTGTCCGGTACAAGATAAGACAACACCTGAATTGAATGGAAACATTTCACAAATAAGCATCTTACGCCGTGTTTAAGTAAAACACGCCACGCCCGTGATGTGAAAAGTACACGTTGCCCTCGTAACATTTTCGATAGCAAAGTTGAGTTTGTGCGCGCCTCTTACTCTACGGAATGGCCTAAATTTACGCCAGCATGGAACATAGGGTGTTCATGGAAAACCTATAGGGTTCAAACGAACATACGGGCAAAGAAAATATTTTTGAAGCGTATTGAATTAAAGATAATGTTTCTTCTCAGGGACGCCTTGCCCACCTAATGTACAGATGGGCGAAATCGATGTTGTTGTACTGTCATGATCCCTGCAAATGATAGGGTTGTGACGCGGCGCGTATTGCAGCGCAACCGAAGTGACCTTGTTCTTGCAGTGATGCTGTACTGAGCCCCGCTACAATTGGTAAGAAATCTGCCTTGGCTGCGCTTCAAGCAACGCTCCCGACCCGCACTATCGTTTGTAAGGCTTGTGACTACACATAGGCTGACTTCCGACGGGTGCTCTACAACTCTTGGACATTTCGACTAGGCTGAGAGCAAAATAACGCGCACACCGTGCAAAGTAATTCACTTGTTTCAAGTCAACGTGAACCTCCAGTTGAATCGCGTCGGGGAAGCGGTGATGGCACTAATTAACTAGGCCATCATTGATTGGAGTTTAGTTGGAGTCTGTACGGCCCCTCCCTCCCCCCAGCCTCTGTCCGTCCTCATCGATGGGGGGCATATAGTACGCATGAAACAGGAAAATCACCAAAAGTCAACCGCCACTCCCACAACGCCAAAACGTAAATACGACCCCCTCCTGGCGACCAAATACGATCCCCCCTATTGGGGATTCCCCAACAACGATGTGCCCTGCTAATTAATGCATTTTTCGCCTCCCCTCTCCGAGCTGTGGTCCTACTTGAATACCCAGAAACTGTTTCAGGGAGTTCTCGTGGTGCGGGAGTGCAACACATAGGCTGGGCTTGAAAAGCATCGAAATTTTTGCTGTTATCCAATTGGTGCTTCGTAGAAAAGATGTCCTGGAACTTGATTGAAACCATTTTCGATTCTGCATGCCGCCGATACCTAGTCGTCATCCGGGCAGTTGATTAGGCGGTCAAAGGGTCGCAGACGCGGCTGCGGCGCGTCACGACCGCGGCGATCAGCTGTTTCCAGCCTATTTAGCCATTTTCTCCCTAATTTTCACTGTTTTTGGCTGCTTTTCTTAAGGTTAGTTGTTCCTTGTCTTCACAAGGTAAATTATGATTGAGATTTCTCTAATTTTTGCGAACAATTGAATAATTAAACAAAGCAATGAAACAAATACCTAAAAAATCAGACACCCCTCGAATAAACAGCAAGCAACATTATCGATTACATAAAATAGAAGGAAAAGGTTCACGTCTATACTTCATAAGGACAAAAAACAACTTACCTTGGAAAAAAATAACACAGCGAAAAAATTAGGGAGAAAATGGCTAAATAGGCTGGAAACAGCTGATCGCCGCGGTCGTGACGCGCCGCAGCCGCGTCTGCGACCCTTTGACCGCCTAATCAACTGCACGGATGATGACTATGGCCACTGAGCTTTGTAATAGTTGTGACAGTCGCTTCGAGTTCATGGAAACTCCGAGTTACTTAGTGCTTATTACCATACTTCTGAGAGACTGCAAAAACACTTCCAAAAAGAAACTGAACACCTTCATGAATCTTGGTTTTTTGACAAGTCATGTGCGAGGTAAGTGAGTGGCAAATGGGTCGGCAGCTATAGTAGCGTGCCACTTTTTCCGGTCAAACGGTGGCGGAGCTACATAGCAAAGATATCCGAGCGCCGTTTTCATACTCTGCGGCGGCGCTGCCGCACGGGCAGCAACACGCTTGACCGTAGCCAGACGCGATACTTGTCTGCGCCCTTTCACTCCTGATCAGGGCACTTCCAGCGGTCAGGAAAAACTCTTGCAAAATACGATCTCTCCCTCCCCCCCCTCGCTCTTGGAATTCCTTCCCTGGTGCAGCCCCCCTTTCACCATTCCACCTACCATCTCCCCAAACTTTTCCAAGGCCTGTCGTTTTTTTCCGGAGTTTCCTCCGAAATTTCCACGGAAAACTGACAAGAGGAGGGCGAGTACATAGCGCACTTAAGGCAGAAAAAAAACGAGAGAAAAGTCAACAACCGGAAACATTCATCTCAAAGGCAAATAAGCCCAGCGGGTTCGGTCCAGCGACCAAATACGACCCTCCTCGCTGGGGATCCGCAAGGTAAAACGTGCTCTGCCTCTGGTTGTTCTATTTGTGTGTTTTGGTGCGGGACCTTGGTATCTACGCAAACGCTGAACATTGAAGATCGCGCACGCGGAGTATGAACGCGCATCGCTACCCTCCATCCCCGTTCTCGTGCCCTTTGAAACGTATGTAGTGGCACGCTACTGAAGGTGCGGATCTATTCACCTCGCACATAGCAACTACCGCCTTTAAAGTGAATTAACATTATTCTCCGGCTGGGTCACCGAGCAATGAGTACTTCCTCTGAAATTGGAATCCGAAACGAACCGCAGTAGTTCAAGAAATTTGAGCAGCTATATCGTACATTTTCTAGCCTGAATCTCGGTATGAAAGCTCTGTTGGCATTAGTGGTCTACACTGGCTACTTGCTCCAACTCTACACCCTCAGCTCAAGCCTTCTACCGCCAATTTTGCGTTTCGTTGAGCGAAAAACTGCCAGCGATAACCGAAAGATGGCACTTGTTGCTGACTACGGGCTGAGAAGCAGCATCGTTTTTATTTCATGTGAGTACTAACTTATTCCTGTACATGTATAATGAAGAACTCCTAACATATTCAGTATTTTGTAAGTTCAACCACTACACCTCTGATAATGCAAGCATATTCACTTTTTAGTTCTACTTGCCGTTCTTGTTCCGAATCTCGAAAACTTAATACCTCTGATTGGCGTGACGTCAGGTGAGTATCGTAGTGAATGTTTCGCTGAGCATTACCCACCTATATCTGGTGATACTGGTCCTCACACGCAGGGCACCCATCGGTTGTGATGATGTCATAAGGGGAGGGTCGTAATTTGACTGTCCGAGGGAGGCGGTGGGGGTCGTAAGCGCAGGGCCCTTTCTGAAGTGAGGGTGCAGCGATACCCAGATGTCACTCAGCTTCAATGATGAAAGGACTTATCCATGTGAAGAACTCCTGAAAGAACCACTCGGTCCGCAGTGTTGTATCAGCGGGATCCTTATCGAGGTCAAGCCACGCAGTCAAGGCCATTCTGTCAGCATTCATATTTACAGTGAAGGGGCAGGAAGCAAGTATGAGCCAGGATCCCCACGTGGCAGGATGCAGCGAATACGGTGTCCCTAGGACTGCGCGCTGCATTTAAAGTACACGATGTAGCGCTCATACACATTGAGGGTGTATGAGACTATCAGCCCCCCAGATGTCGATGTGTCGTGGTCCCCCGCCCAAACATGCCCGGGAATGGAGATACAGGGCCGTGAAACACGCTAAGTTCTTCCATGCTCCGCCCACTGCCTTTTTACGGCGCAGATTCCCGCCGTTCATAACATCCGTCGTAAGCGCGCCTGTCGCGTGCGGCTCCTTGGCACTTTGCCAAGTCCTTTAATTGCGCTCTCAAATACAAGGAAAACGCAATTTCCTGATGCGGATAACATTGGAGGTGCTACAAAATAAGAACAGAAGATGATGACAAGGGCAGAACTCAAGCAACTCGGCTGCATCTGCAGTATCCATCAGAGGCCGCGCATTCCCACAAAACATGAAAATAAAAACAGCCCAAGCGTCCCACTCGTTTGTTCTAAGTATTTCTATGGCTTTGGCGCCGGATCGTAGAAATTTACAGGCCAGTTTATCTAATTTGCCTTTCCCTTGATTTTTTCATTTTTGTTTTGTTTACATTTACATCGTTGTGCTTCATTTCTAGCCTGTGTCATCTTCATCTCCTTGTACATGGATTTTGAAGCATGAGCAACACCTTAAATTTTATTCGCATCAGGAAATTGCGTCTTGCTTGTATTAAACTAACGAGTATGCCGTTTTTATTTTCATGTTTCGTGGAAATACGTGGCCTCCGAGGGATGTTGCAGAAGTGGCACAGTTGCTTTTAGGTTCTGACCCTTGTCATCATCTTCTGCTCTTATTTTGTAGCACACTCCAATGTTATCGCTCAGGAAATTGCGTTTTACTTGTATTTGAGAGCGCAATTAAAGGACTTGGCAAAGTGCCAAGGAGCCGCACGCGACAGGCGCGCTTACGACGGATGTTATGAACGGCGGAATCTGCGCCGTAAAAAGGCAGTGGGCGGAGCATGGAAGAATTAGCGTGTTTCACGGCCCTGTATCTCCATTCCTGGGCATGTTTGGGCGGGGACCACGACACATCGACATCTGGGGGGCTGATAGTCTCATACACCCTCAATGTGTATGAGCGTACAGTGTCTTTAAGTACGGACGCCGCGGGCGAATATGGGTTATCAAGCCGCGGCGAAGATTGCTCATCGTCGCCGCACGCGCGTTAAACTGCCTTCTAGGAGAGGCCACGGTGTGGATCTCCTGGGACGGCGATGCCTGCAAGGAATGAATTTTCGGAACCATGAACTCTTCAATTCTGCATGCGAAAACGCTTCAAAGTGTCGTTTAAAGGAATTTCAACCATCTGAAAAATGCATCATGAGGCGGAGGTGGTGTAGTGACAAGTGGCGCGCTTACCACTCGCGCGGTCCCGGGTTCGAATCCCGGGTCGACTCCCGCCCAGGCCAACCAAGCCTTCTACCCTCCGGGGACGGTGAATTGGTACCAGATTCGTCTGGGAGGATAAAACACTGACTTGTACATCGGCTGGCCACCGCAAGTCATTGTATAGGCCACATCGCATTCAATAAGCCACTACGATTCTGAATGGAAGTAGAATGCGTGCCGCATCCCACAAAGGGATTGATCAACGGCGAAGACTTTATCCTTTATCTTTACCTGCCATCAAAAACGTCACTGCTTCTGGATAAATCCTGGATATCGCGGATAAAGTCTTCGCCGTTGATCAATCCCTTTGTGGGATGCGGCACGCATTCTACTTCCATTCAGAATCGTAGTGGCTTATTGAATGCGATGTGGCCTATACAATGACTTGCGGTGGCCAGCCGATGTACAAGTCAGTGTTTTATCCTCCCAGACGAATCTGGTACCAATTCACCGTCCCCGGAGGGTAGAAGGCTTGGTTGGCCTGGGCGGGAGCCGACCCAGGATTTGACCCCCGCGCCGTGCGCGTGATAAGCGTGCCACTTGCCACTACACCGCCTTCGCTTAATGCTTTTGAATACTGCTGGGAATGGGTAATGCAGCGCATTCCTCCAAACGGTTCACGGAATGACGTACGGGCTCCTGCATGTGACAGAAATGTGGGGATCATTTAGCTGATCGCTTCCAGGAATACAAAAGAAGGAAGGAAATCTTTTCTCAGGAGAAAATGCCAGGAAAGCACCTCTTCAGACCACAGTTTACTTGCGAATGTACATATTTTCTGCAAATGGACAATCGCATTACCATGGCCACTGCCTCCAAAAGAGCGACTAATATGTTGGATTGCTCATAAAATGCCAAGTGATGCAGTGAGCGCTATTTTTGTTTGGACAGAAACATGTTATGTCATAGAAACATAATCAAAATGCGTCACTAATTAACGGTGTTTTGATTCTGTGACTATTCCTTTCGAGTTCTGAGCTTCATATTGCTGAATACAAGGGAAGTGCTTGTTAGTATTCAAGACACACCGATTTCTCATTGAATTATTTTCGCTTCTTGGTGCTGGATAACTACACCCTGGAAAAATCACTTAAATATTTCAAAATAGAAATCAAAATTTAAATTCTCGTTCAGCGCCTGAGAAGATTCCATCGACGAAGGTGAGCCTAAACCGTCATATATTTGGCCGTTGCCATAAGTAATGGCGTTTTTTTCTCACGCAAATTTTTATATGGAAAATGATAATTTTTCCCAATGCGTTCCACATTGTTCGATAGACAAGTTTCTGCCCTATGAGAGAGCATAATTGCCTTCTTAATTTTTATTTTTTTTCATTGAAAGGGAAATTCGGGTCGACGCAAAAGTGAGTTTTCGACAACTACTTTTTGAATTTTATCTTTGCTCCCATCTACAGAAGAAGCTCAAACCGTATGATATATATGACCAAAAGAGAGATGCGTCTTATGATAGCTGAAAGTTTGGTTCAAAGCGAAAACAAGCAGGCGGGATTAGACCTTGTAAAAGAGCAATGTAAAATAGGTGTCCCCCCAAGGAGGGACTGCCTGCAGAACAGACCCACCTATTTTCGAACGTCTAACATCAACTGAGGGTGGTTGGTGATGATAAATAAGCATTCAATGACCTCACACAATTCACCGATCTTGGGTATGAATTTATTCATGAATCTCCATGAATAAGGTTATTCAGTAAGCTCTCAGTTGGACTCAATAGGGCATTAGGTCCGATGCTTCTCTGTGAGGTCTATATTGAAATCTTCGAATCACTTGAACCGTCGTAATCATTCTAAGAGACACAGCCTCTTAGCCATATACTTAGCTTCTGGGTCTGTGCGGTTTTAGCTTAGAAGTAAAATGGGGAGGCTGTCGAAAATGCTCAATTTCGTCGACCTGACACTCCAGTTTGAGCACTTAAATATTAGTGGGAAGAAAAAATCCAAGGAAACTAAAAGACTATCATGTAGGGCAAGGAATTCTCTACAAAACAGGATAAAACGCTATGGCAAAAGTTTTCATCTTCAGCGCGATATTTCGAGTGAGAAAAAACGCCATTACTTATGGGCCGACCCAATACATAGTTTCATTAATCAGAGACATCGGTCGCATACTCGAGTGCGCTATTGAAGGCATATGGCACGATAATTTGGTACTCGGTATAAATGCGAGCAGAGTGTTATGTTGGAAAAATGGTGAAAAAACGATGTGAAACGGTCAAACTCTGTGAAGGAAAGTCTTTGTTCTTCGAGGCATTAGACAAGCATTTGTGGACGAGTTTCCCGCCAACATCGTGCCAATACCCACTACGTTGAATACGGCTGCATGTATGAACTCATATACACTCCTTATCCTTGAGACGGAGTAGGCGTGGCTTTTGAGCACTGCATAGGACGGGTTACTTGTGGGATACTTCAATTTGAAACAACTGCTATCTTGTTCTTTTTAGATGTAGACATGATTGCGACTGCTCCGAAATGAAAATATCTCACGAAAACCTGGGCCGCGCCATTTTAAAATTAAGTACGCAGCCACGCCTACCCGATCTCAGGGATTCCAAGTATATCTATGCAGCACAGCGGCCGCTTCATATCAATCCCTTGCAAATGAAGCAATACAATATTTGAGATCGGTTTTTAGTGGTCGAAACTTTGAGCCATTCAAAAACCTCACTCCTGCCGTTCCATTGAAAAGACTTAGTCGGAAACTTCAGTGTGCTATAAAAACACATATGCCGTTGAAATGAGTAAAAGCAGAACTTGATTATCAGTGATTTGTCGAGTGTGCGCCTTGCATTAGCTCTCACACAGGGGTGATGGGAAGCTGTAACTTGTAATGGTAAGTAATTTTTGTCCCGAAAGCAGGGTGTGTAGAGTGTTTTCCAAAACTTTGGGAAGGTCGATGCGAACGAAGCTGCTTGTGTTGTATTATTTATTCATCCACTACTTAGGGATTCATGCTAAACTTTTAATATTTTTTTTTGAATGCTGCTTGCTCTTCTGACAAAATGAGGGGTCACATACCTCGCACCTAGGAATCTAGCCGCTACGCTCGCTTCTGACGATTAGTTCCCTGACAGCCCTCACCATTTTGGAGAAATGAGTTCTATAGGTGGTCTTCAGCAGGAAAACTTATTCGAGATGTTTATAAAGTACACTTTTCAGGCATGCTCCTAGCTCTGATAATTCCTCCAATAGCCGACATCACAACATTTCTTCCAGTTTTCTTAGCAGAAAAACGACATTTCCGTATAGCAGTTTTAATATTGAATAATTTATTTTTCTGTGCTGTTGGCATATTTTTCTTGGTTTCCGGTTTGGAGACGAATCTTAGGCATTTGTTACAATAGACAGACGGTTGCATGATTAGCGCTGTACAGTACTGAGTAATAAAGGTAATAGGTTGTGAGGTAGTGTATCAGTCTAAACAGAAGCGCACGGCCTTGAGGCTCCATGTGGGTTTAGTTCATCAAACGTCCACTGAATGAGAATACCATCTATTCTTCTGTTACTAAGCATAAGAGAGTTTTCTGAATTCGGTCATAAAGAGGCAAGTCGAGTATGAAATCACTTGAGAAGAGGAACTTCTCATCTTTCGAAGAAATGGACAAGGACAGAAAGGACAACAATTAGATGGACACTGCTCCGCAAGTTGGATGGGGTAGAACTTTCCAGCGTATTCGAATATTCTTCCAAGCAGTTCAGGGGGTAAAGCTACCCTTTGGAATGGACGTTAAGCTAATCCGAGTTTTGATTCGGTCTTCGAAAATGATACCAAGGGGTGAGCTCAGTCGTTATCACTGAAGCAGTGCTCACCCATTCCATAACAATCCCCATGAGACCGAAGAACAAAACGCTCAGACCTTGGATGAGGGAGTGGCACCAGCGAGAACATTGTCAGGTGCTATCTCACAGCCCACAATGAATTCAGCAATAATATGAACACTGCCTATGCTTTAAAAGTGCATGGTCCATGAACATGACTTCGCAGCATTACGAGAAGACGCTGTTTGGCCTGTCCTGTCCACTCTGAAGGAGCGCTTTTAGAAGAATATGAGAGAACGGGTTAGAAGCTTTCACAGGAGATAACGCTTCCGCTAATGGGGAGCGCACCCGAGAGTTCTCGTTTGCTAAGCGAAATGCCACTGTGTCATTGCCGTCGGTCAGAACTGTTGGAAACTCAGATGTTCTCCCATCATTGCATACTACTGCAGACCATGAACGCTCCCAGATCGCCTCCGGAACTCAACTAGCAACTTTCAATGATTGTTGACAATGTTCCAGACTGTTTTGATATGCCGATTTTCCATTCACAGTCCCATGGTAGTTCAACGACCTTCCCTTGTACCTAGTGGTTCCGGTAGCTTATAATAGTGCACAGATTACAAGCACTGATGTTCTCTTGGAACGTTTGGTTCAATCAACATCAAACTTTTGAAACTCTTCAATCCGAGTCACATCAGCCTTCTCATAGTGAAATATACCATTTTCACTTTAAATCGGACACTTTTCAAATCAAATCGGACACACCCCTTACAACGGGCAGTTGAGAACTAGACCACCCACGTTGGTACTGCTGCAAGCCCCGCCCCAACACCCCCGCGGCCGTGGTTTTCCAAATGTTTTATGAATTCTGCTTCTCAAATTTTTTCACTTTTGCTACTTGACACACACATTCAACTGAATAGGTTTGCTACCGACACATATATGACTCCGCCCACTTCACAATGAAGTGACGTAAGTTCTGAATTTTTATAATTTTTTCGACGTCGTTTTTTTCACATTCAATCTTCACAAAACGAATATAGCCATGCATTTACACACTAGCACACTAAGCCCGCCCCTCTGACCACCACTTTGTAGAAGCCCGCCCACTTTTCAAAAATGATGCAGATCGGCGAGCTAGTGACCGTACTAGCAGGTTATGGCCTCTCCCGTCACCCGGAACAAAGTTTCCCTTTTTTGTGGTCTTTCCCTTTTTTCATTCAATGTGATAGAGGAAGAGGCCATAAACTGCCAGTGCGGCACTAGCCCTCGCCGATTGCGTCATTTTTGAAAAGTGGGCGGGGCTTCTACAAAGTGGGCGGAGCTTCCATTAGTGGGCGGGGCCGCTTGTCACAGCCTAAAAAAGTGAAAATTCGGAAGAAAAATCAAAATTCCGCGAAAAAAACGAAAGTGGGCGTGGTCAGAGGGGCGGGGCTTAGTGTGCTAGTGTGTACAGTCCTCATCATTGCGGACCGGTGGGGCGTGGCAGTGCGGCTGCATTTGGTGCGGTTTGGCAAAGTCGTTCTGCACCAGTTTTTGAAGCGAACAAGTGCATTACTGTATAATATCCTTCGTATTACTCGTTTTCTACCACTTTTTGTCGCATACGCGTTGCAACAAAAAAGGCTGAGAACGGCTTCAACAGTGTGCGCACTCCTTCTGGCTGACACGCCCCACCGGTCCGCAATGATGAGGACTGTAAATGTGCGTGGCTTATATCGTTTTGCGAAGATTGAATGCTGAAAACGAGGTCGAAAAGTTATAAAAATTCAGAACTTACGTCACTTCATTGTGAAGTGGGCGCAGTCATATATGTGTCGGTACCAAACCTATTCAAGTTGTGTGTGTGTGTGTGTGTGTGTGTGTGTGTGTGTGTGTGTGTGTGTGTGTGTGTGTGTGTGTGTGTGTGTGTGTGTGTGTGTGTGTGTGTGTGTGTGTGTGTGTGTGTGTGTGTGTGTGTGTGTGTGTGTGTGTGTGTGTGTGTGTGTGTGTGTGTGTGTGTGTGTGTGTGTGTGTGTGTGTGTGTGTGTGTGTCAAGTAGCAAAAGTGAAAAAAATTTGAAGAAGCAGAATTCATAAAACATTTGGAAAACCACGGCCGCGCTAAGAAGTGGGCGGGGGTGTTGGGGCGGGGCTTGCAGCAGTACCTAGTGTGGTCTGGTTCTCAACTGCCGTTGTGGTCCGATTTGATTCGAAAAGTGTCCGATTTGATTTGAAAAGTGTCCGATTTGATTTGAAAAGTGTCCGATTTGGTTTGAAAAGTGTCCGATTTGGTTTGAAAAGTGTCCGATTTGGTTTGAAAAGTGTCCGATTTAAAGTGAAAATGGTATATATAATCCTCTGCTTGGTGTGTACTGACAATGAGGAAAAGGATGTAATCATGAAAGGCAATAAAACGCAGATATTGCGATGATACGGAGCCCGGAAGATTAGTATTAGGATCAAGCAAGCCATAGAACTCCAAGATCGAATAAATAAAGTCTACGCGTGTTCCGCTGCTGCCGGTCATCCACTTCCTGTTCCAAGTATTTGCAATGACGAGGAGTCCAGTAATAGCAAAAGAAGCCGGGCGAACAACGTAATTGATCTTTAGTGGATGCAACAGTTATGAAGCAAGTTATAGGGACCAATAGAATAATAAGGAGCACGGTATGGAAATTCTGCTTTTTTCAAGTGCCCAACACACTCTTCTTCCGTTTAGCTTTTAAGCGATGCATCTTCGGCTCACGCAAGGATTTGAGCGATGCAAAACTGGTCGTTCAGCCATACCACTCTCCAACAAACAGTCCCTTCAGCTACCTCCTTGCCTGCAAATCAACAATTTCTCACCAAAAACTTCTCGAGCAGCACCGCGGGGGGGGGGTATGCAGGATCCCCATAATTCCACAAATTCCCGAATCCTTTTTCATAAATGCGGCAAACCTTACACCTATACATTAACAGATTAAAAACAAGTGGCACGACAAATCCAAGACGTACAAGGCGGATACGCCAATAATATCCCAGAGTTTTCACAATATCTTGTAGTGTGTCCTTGATGTAGAGAGGCAGTAAGATATTATTCGATCATTAAAAAAAACATGTGATCGACACTGCAACTGGGAGATCCACTTGCTCTGTGGAGCATATGATAGGCAGCTAGGATTGGGGAAGAATCAGCAGGATGCATGCGGTAAGGCCGAGGTTTTTTTCTAGGGGGGGGGGAATATTACGCACAAATTTCCCCAACGGCAGAACGAGTCCTGATCCGCAGCGTTCAGTAAGCGGCCGCTAAGAAGTGTTGGACACTCCTTCCTTACCAACGGCTACTAACAGGTAAAAGGCGAGCCACTGCGAGAGAAGACTTGCTGAAGGCCCTTTGAATAAGAAAGTTCTTTTGAGAAAAAGGAGGCCTCCAATTTGAAGGAAGGCAGGAGCTTCAGAAACGGAGTCGTCGGAAGAAGAGTGCAGACTGAAAGGTGAAAATTCTTCAGCGTAATTTATCTTAGTCCTCCGCGCTACCAAGCACAGCTCTATTAGTCCTAATTGGCATGTGCCGACGTCACAGCCGCGGTTTCCGCGCTCCAATGCGTCTGGCGAGCGGCGCGAAAATTTACGTTCAAATGAGGGTTTGCGGGAAATCCCTGATTTCGGCTGTATTTAAATTTTCTCTTTATTTTTTTATTTTCTACATGGATCTTCTACGATGTTTTTCCTGATGTCTTTGTTGTTGTATTCTGGAGGTTGAACTGGTCACTTTAGCATAATGGGAGGAAAAGTTGGCAATTCTGGAGGTCCTGCTGTGAGCTCTTCGTCTGCGAATCAAATACCCAGTGCAGCTGCTTTGGTTTCTCTCAGACAAGCTGATGATTTGCTTACTCTGTATGCTCGAAATAAAGGCGGAGCGAGGTGAGCTTGTAATATTCATGTTTGGGGTTTTTTGGAGGGGGTGCGGGTTAGAGACAAACCAACTGTGTTTTCTGGGTTGTTGGTTTTTTTCCTAGACGAGTGTTTTCAATACATTTGCTTTCCTTTTTTCTTATCGCATATCCTCAATTTCTAGTCGCGAAGAGATAATGTACAGAGTATACGATGAAAATTGGACTCAGTTGGTGTTCGCTGTTGTTAACGATTCTAAAACCTCGCTCGCCGATTTACGTTTCCTTAGTAAAGTTTTTGAGAAGATTGTCGACTTCGTCATATCAGGTATGATTCCAAGTACGGTGCATTTAGTTTGCTTGTGCTCAACTACCTTTTTTGGAGGGGCTTACAGTAACCCGTTTAGACCCAGCTCTTCCGGCTCGAGACGCTATAAAGTTGGTACTCACGAGTCAAAAAGTGGCTTTCGACAAGTTCCTGAGTGAACTATCTAGTGGAGAAATCCTTTTCTATGGCGCTTCGCTATGGCTAGCCTATTGCAAACTTTTTGTGACAGTGTTTGGAACCAAGGTTTGTCAAGATCGTTAACTGCTTATCATTTTCTTCAAGAACCAAATTTATCCCTTGCTCTCGCCCACTGTTCGGGAAATGCCGCTGAATGTTTGAAGGAATTTTCTTTTCTAGTAGATTTGATTGTCCCACCTTCCCGACTAGTTGTGCGCGGTACATTTCTTTTGAACAACGAAAATATCTGCTCGACACAAATATCTGCTATTGGGCGTTTATGCCTGGCAGCGCCAAGATAATCACCGTGAAGCTTTATGGGCCTAGTTTCGGCTGTTGTCAGTCTTGAAAAGACAAGCTTATGGCAGGCCTTTTCTGCACATACAGGTGATTTTCGTTTCCAGGGGTCGGATTATCCCTGAGAACAGGTTTTTTCGGCAGATTTTGCGTTTCGAGGTGTTCGCCTCGGCTCCTAGAGGGGATGCCAGGTTATTCCGAGCCAAGTGGTCGCCATAAAACACGTCGGGAGGCGAACTTCCAGCCAAATCTACCCATAGGAGAGACTCTGATCAGAATGCGGCCTGAATTTTGAAGGGTGCGGTCAAGGGTACTTGTTTAGGCAGTTATCAGGAACGCCTAATGGCTTGCAAAAGCTGTTATAAACAAAACAAATATTGTATGATGGGTTTATCTATGGCTCTTTGGGGGTTATTTAGCTCTATGAGAAACTTCTCCTATGACTGTCTATCCTCCTATGACTTTACTTACAGATGCCAAGTAAAGAGTGGAACGAGTTCTTCGCTCCAATGGAGACATGGTTCAAAATCTCTGATAGAGAAGCCGTTGTTATCTGTCTACAGGTCTGGACTTCATTCATAAGTTTTGCTGCTCCCAAACTGAGTACTGGTGAGTTGAAACCACAGAGCCTTTCTGCAGCGGGAACTACTGGAACAATTCCTTTGAAGGTGCCTTGCGAGAAAAACTTCTTGGAACTTTCTCTAAACCACTGCGTTCTCATGCGGTTATGAGCAAATTGTCAACACCAGCGCCAATAATTTCTGCTTATATAGCCCTGATCTCTGCATTCCGTAGTAGCGTTGATGAGAGATTCGAAGAGGTAAGCAGTCTCTTTTGACTAGCAATCACTGAAGTTTATAAGTGAATTGTTTCAGTTAATCGTTTGCTTTCTACGATTCATTACTGGTAAAGCAGTGATTGCACTGGAGGATGTGAACGTCATCGAGGATGAGATAGCCAAGCCGATCAACGAGAACAACTTGAGGCTTATACTCGAAGGACCTTCCTCGGACTTCATGAGTTTGTTATTAAATACTGGTCTATCCTATAGTCTCGTTCGTTGCGGATGATGTTGCGTATTAGTGCAGCTGCGCTTGGCGCAGCGCCGAACCCTTTTTTCTCACCATTTTTTGAGCGAGTAGGCGACAAGTATCCTACCGTTGTTTTGCTCCAGTTGTTGTCATCTACCCGCTTGAGCAACTGGTGGAAAACGGGCTCGGCGCCGCATCCAGCGCAGCCGCACTGACGCGCCCCATCACACGCAGTGAACGAGTGTATTGGTCACCACTAAAAGCTCTATCGTAGTTGAGGGGGCCACCTACGACAGCCCTACTGAATCTGCTCCTCTACACCCTAGGATTAGGTCGTACACGCTCTAGCTGTTTACACTTTTCAAAGGCTGAGCCTGTCGGGGAGGAGGAGGAGGGGGCTACATCGTCCCTTTTTCCATTATGAGAGTAAGTATCTTTTCTCTTTCAGCTATCTCACTGATCCAAGACCACATCGCGTTTTTAATAGTGACGCACTTACGCATGTATTTCCGTTGATCTGTTCGGTGCTTGGAGTTCAAGAGTCTATCCAAGGTGAATGATGATTGAAAAAAATATAGGCTTTACTTATATCATATTACGATTGTTACAGGAGTTCCTGTATGTGCCAACGTTCCAGCGCTAATGCTGAAGTATGGGGTTCTCCTCACTCAGGTTGTTCGTTTCGCTGGTCACGTATCCGCTTGTGGTAAGCATGTTTTTCCCCAGATTCTTGCCTAATTTAACACATTGAACGCCGCGGCGTTTTTGCGGCGACTCCCGTTTTTACTTCCCTGCGTCTCCGCGCGCGTGAATTGCGTGCAATACACAAACGCGCGAAACGGGAGTCTTTGTGCCGCATGCCCCTTTACACGTTCATTCTGGTTACTTTTGCGCTCATTTCTACATTGTTCAATATGAATGATGTTCTTTTAGCTGCATAGATGGATCTGGACAACGTAGAAGATCTAAAAATCAGTTTCGACGACATAAGTGTTGTCATCATAATCAGTTAAACACTGAAATGTATTGTAGATTAACACTAATTATCACCAGAAGTCTTACACCCACTGTAGTGATACGGAGCT